TGCGGAGAGGGGAACGGGGGCGCGGGGCGGGGGGGGGGGGGGGGACCCGAGCTGGGCTCATCGCTCCAGGCCTCCTGCATGCGTGCAGGGAGGACACGGCGAGGTATGAAAAGAGACTAGAAGAGGCAGCATTTGGCAGGAGATGAGGTGACATATTGTACAAAGCCACTGGGGACCACACTGGCCTGGGCTTGTCAGGGAAAACAGGCAGCTTTAACCCTTGTGCTGCTGGAGCAGATCCAGCCCAAGTTTTCTAACTTTTATAGAGTGAGGATCTGCACGTCCAAACAAGGGGTGGGAGACCTGAAGGAAGATCCCTGCCACAACTCATAGCTGCTGGAAAGACCGCGTCCCTGGGGGGGGGGGCGGGTGCAAAAATGGTACCTACGTGCACACGGTGGGACTGCGCCCCATCTCTCCAGCAAGGACCCTCTGCAGAACAAAAGGCGCTGGGCTCCGCTGTGTTCTTGTGACCACCCAGCTGCTTGTTCATGGCAAAGTTTTCTCTGGCAGACCTGCCTTTTTGGACCGTTCCCTGCAGCCAAGCTATCAGAGATCCCGTAGCATCCACAGTGTCATGTTTGGTGCCATTATACTTTGTCCAGATATGCACAAGTGCAGTTTGTGGAGGGGGCAGCTGCCAGCTCCATCACGTCTGGTTTGCAACACGCTCTTGCAACCAACGTCTGCAGCCCAGGCTGGCTGCGAAGGCTCAGACGCTCTGCATAGACGGTGCAAGGCCTCACCGACCACCCTGTGATGCTCAGCGGGGTGATGCTCCAGCTACCATACTCTTCGCAGACAGTGAGCAGGAACCAGAGCTAGTTTGGATCGATGCTGGAGAAGCACCTGAGCAACCTGTTAGTCTTCACGCAGGGTAACGATGCCCTGCAAAGTCAGGGCTCAAGGCATTTTTAGGCACGTATGTTAGAGCACATAAATGGGTGTGCACGTGCAGGTGGGCTGTGCAAGCTGCGTGTGCACAAGTGCGCGTGCAAACTTGGGTTGCAGAGTACACATGCATGTGGGTAGGTGGCTGAGCAAGGTCCAGCAACCCTCAACACATGTCTGCACGCACACCCATGTTTACTTGTGCGTGTGCTTAGCTAATAACAGAAGGCCCCTGATCTGCACAGCTCTCTCCACGCCCTGGCCACGCTTGCCTGGCTAGTGACAGAAGCTCTCGGCTCCGATAGCCCCTCTCCTCGCCTTTGTCTCCCTGCCTTTTATTGAGTGCAGGTTTTGTGAGCGGTCGGTGACAGACGGCCCCGGTGCTCGATAACTAGACAATCTGTCACCACCACCACTGACAGCTTTCACAAGGAGCCCCTTTCCTTTCATCCTTCCCGGTTCCCTTCGTCTCTGCTTGTCCCCCTTCCACACGTGCTCTCTGGCTTTGTTCCCCCCTAAAAGCCAAATAGCGACAGAAGCTCCTGATCATAATATTGCTCTAATCGAGTCTGTCATAATCGGATCCAATCTAATTACGTTCAGATCCCTCTCTTCTCCTGACTCTCTCTATTGCCTGTCCATCTGTCCCTCTCTTCCCTTCCAGTCTTTGTGTCCATCCATCTGTTATCTGCAGGCCTTTCTCCCTTCCCATCATCTCCCTGGGCCCCTGCCCCATTCGCAGCATGGCCGCCCCGGCCCTTTCCTCCAGCGGCTCCCTCTCCAATCTATCTCTCTTAAAGGCCTCTCCATCAATCCA